AGCATTTAATCAAGGTTGAATTAGAGGCATGTGTACCAGAGGGAGGGGGAGAGGGGTTTTGAGGAGGTGGGAGGGTGGATGGGAATGGTGAGGCTGTGTGTGTGGTTTTGAAGCTGTGAGCCAATACAGAAGAAAGAGCACTGAACCGCAAGACACTAAAACCACAAGGCACTGAAACAATAATAGTAACAGCAGCTGCCTTTAAAAAAAAAAAAAGTTGAAATATAGTTGATTTATAATGATTTACAATGTTGTGTTAATTTCTGCTATACAGCAGAGTGATTTAGTTATATATATGTATATATTTTTTATATTCATTTTTATTATGGTTTATCATAGGATATTGAATATAGTTCTCTGTGGTATACAGTGGGACCTTGTTTTTTATCCCTTCTATATAATAGTTTGCATCTGCTAACACCAACCTCCTACTCCATCGCTCCCCAACCTCCTCCGTGCTCGGCAATCACAAGTCTATTCTCTATGTCTGTGAGTCTGTTCTCTATAAGTTCATTGATATCATATTTTAGATTCCACATATGTGATATCATATGGTATTGGTCTTTCTCTTTCTGACTTACTTAGTATGATAATCTCTAGGTCCATCTGTATTGCTGCAAATGGGACTATTTTATTCTGTTTTTTGTTGTTGTTGTTGTTCTTTCTTATGGTTGAGTAGTATTCCATTGTATATATGAACCACATCTTTATCCATCCATCTGTTTCCATGTCTTGGTTAGTGTGAATAGTGATGCTAGGAACATAGGGGTGCATGTATCTTTTTGGATTAGAGTTTTGTCTGGAGTGGGATGCCCAGGAGTGGGATTGCTGGATCATATGGTAATTTTGTTTTTAGTTTTCTGAGGAAACTCCATATAGTTTTCCACAGCGGCTGCACCAACTTACATTCTCACCAACAGTGTAGGAGGGTTCTCTTTTCTTTACATCTTCTTCAGCATTTGTTATCTGTAGACTTTTTAATGATGGCCATCTTGACCAGTGTAAGGTGGTACCTTACCGTAGTTTTGATTTGCATTTCTCTGATAATTAGCACCGTTGAGTATCTTTTCATGTGCTCATTGGCCTTTTTTTTTTTTTTTTAAAGAAATGTCTATTTAGATCTTCTGCCCATTTTTTTGATTGGGTTGTTTGGTTTATTTTGTTGAGTTGTATGAGCAACAACAATTGCCTTTAACTGTGCACATTGGCCTTTTTTTTTTTTTTTAAAGAAATGTCTATTTAGATCTTCTGCCCATTTTTTTGATTGGGTTGTTTGGTTTATTTTGTTGAGTTGTATGAGCAACAACAATTGCCTTTAACTGTGCACTTGAAATTGAGCCAGGTACTGTGTTGAGTCCTCTGTATCCTCTGATGCTCACCAGAAAACCTTGATGTTGCTCTTATAGATGCAAAGCTCAGAGAGAATCAGCCACCAACCAGCAAGAGGTGTGTGTCAGTGAGTGAACTGACTACATACAACAGAACACGAGTAGCAGTGGCTTGAACAACTCAGAAGATTTTTTTCTCATGTGAGAAGTTTGGGAGTAGTTAACCCGGGGCTTCTGTGGCTGCTCCTTACCGTTGGGGATGGAGGCCCTGTGTCCTATCTAGCATTTGCCTGCGTTGTTCTTCTAATGTGGACACCAGGTCTCTCTTCTGGACAGGAAAAGGAAAGGGACAAGAGCAAAAGGCACATACTGCTGACTCTGTCCCCCTTTTATTTAAGGAGATTTCAAGAAAGTTCTGTCTTTATGTGCTTCTACTGTATCACCTGGCCTTTTTTTTTTTTTTTTTCTGCAAGATGGCTACTGTGTGCCTGATACTATGCCAAACATTCACATTACTTATTCTTCATAACAGCCCTGTAGGAGGGCTCTTTACAACCCCTGGGCTCTGTTTTTATCCTTGCTGTTATATAGCTAAGCAATCCAAAGTAATCACGTTCCGTCTCTGACCCCCAGTTTTCTCATCTCTTTTATGAAGGACCAGACTAGAGAAGGAGTTTTTAAAGCCTCCAGACCCTTACAGGGACCATGGATAAAACCCAGGAAGAAGGGTTGTGAATTTGGATGGGGAAAACCATTTCATTCTTATTTTCTCTAACCTCTAGTTGAAATTTAGCATTTCCTTCTGTTATGACTGTAGACAACAGACCACAGTAATAGTAGCAAATTCTGTGACTTTTTTTTAACCAAAGGAAATCACAGATATTTTAGAGCCTATTATAGTTGTTTCCAATATGTTAAGATGTAATTTATGTTCATCACTACCTAAAATTGTGGTCATTATTAGAAAAACCTGCCATATTTGATATGTTAATTAACAGGCATACATCTATATAGATCTACCTTACAAATTTTGTTTTTAATGTTTTAGCAACTTTAAAAAATGGGGCTTCCCTGGTGGCTCAGTGGTAAAGATTCTCCTTCCTGTAATGCAGAAGACACAGGAGACTCACATTTGACCCTTGGATTCAGAAGATCCCCTGGAGGAGGGCATGGCAACCCACCCTAGTATTCTTGCCTGGGGAATCCCATGGACAGACAAGCATTTCAGGCTAAGGTCCATAGGGTTGCATAGAGTCAGACATCACTGAAGTGACTGAGCATGCATATTTCAAAGTGATTTATTTTCTTTATAATCGCGTGTATTTTGCTTTATGCCTTTAAAAACATTTTCTGAGAAGGGATCCATAGGCTTCATCGGACTGCCAACGAGCCCATGGAACAAATAAGACAAAGCTCCTGAAATATGAGAACTCTGCTTCTCTGGCTGTAAGTGAGACTATGCCACCAACTATCATGGTCATCCTGAACAACTCCCTTAGTGCTCCATTTCCTCAGTTTTCTCTTCTGTAAATTGGGAATAATACTAGTCTTATCTAGTTAAGAGCTACCAAGAGAACAAGAGAAATCTGCATGTAAGTACACACAGATGCAGAGCGTATGCCTGTTCAGTTGTGCAGAGTCAGCTTCTGAAGTGGTAATAAATGAGGGTTATTAAGTTGTTCAACCTTAGACCTATTTCCCAGAGATGCTGAATTTTTCAATCACCTCTAGATAAGTGTCCTGAGATAGTCATATAGATTGGGATTGAACTAGGAAAAAACTCAATAATAAGGGGGAAATTGCACCTTAAATGCACTTGGATAAAACTGCTTAAGAACACAGGAGATAAAATGAGATTTTTCCCAATCGATCATATAACTCCAATTATCCTAGGCTCTAAGAAGTTAGGAGCCTAGGAGCCATGGAATTTTCCAGGCAAGAGTACTGGAGTGGGTTGACATTTCCTTCTCCAGGGGATTTTCCCGACCCAGGGATTGAACCCAGGTCTCCCACAATGCAAGCACACGCTTTTACTGTCTGGGCCACCAGGGGAGCTGGGCTTCCCTGACAGCTCAGTTGGTAAAGAATCCGCCTGGGTTGGGATGATCCCCTGGAGAAGGGAAAGGCAACCCACTCCAGTATTCTGGACTTCCCGGTGGCTCAGATGGTAAAGCGTCTGCCTACAATGCGGGAGGCCCGGGTTTGATTTCTGGGTTGGGAAGATCCTCTGGGGAAGGAAATGGCGACCCAGTCCAGTACTCTTGCCTGGAAAAGCTCATGAACAGAGAAGCCTCGTAGGCTTCTCCGTCCATGGACTTGCAAAGAGTTGGACACAGTGAGCCACTTCACTTCACTTCAGTCAATAAACCATGGCTAAAAAAAAAACAGATCAATCAGTCATTCCCTCTGTAATCTCTAAATACAGGGATAATTGGACAAATGACTAGAAAGTTGAGAAAGTTGGTTTCTTTCTTTCATAGTCTGTGCCTTTAAAATATCTGAGTACTTACCAAATATTTATTCATCCAAGAAATCTGCTGAGGTGATTATAATTAATGTTTTAAGTAGCAAAGTAAATATCTACAAATATTAAACAATATTTTAGAAATGAGCTCAAATTATGTTCGGGGTGTTAACTTCATGCTTTCATAGCCTTAAACTCAAAGACACAGTGTACTGGGAGGTAGTCAGCTTAGCCAAGAAAGATGGTTCCTAAACAAAGTGATATTTTGACCAGTTTTCCCAAGGACTTTTGGAAATACCCTGGGATGTTTTTGTTGAAGAGGCTCTCTGGTTTGCACAGTGGAAGTTGCCCTTTTTTTCTGACTTTGAGAGAATGGAAGTCTGATTCTGCTGTCTTAGCCATATAGAGAAGAACTCAGCTAAAAATTAGAATTGAGGAGCATTTTTCTACTAAAATAGAAAAAAAAAGCCTACTTCTATATTAAAAAAAAAAAAAACAACAGAGAAAAAACTCTGGTTTTCTTATCTTGATATTAATGAGAGGTCATTCATTCATTCATTTACTCATTCATTTGTTTATAAGTGTTCCTTGATTACCCACCTTTAGCAAGGCACTATGCCAAGCACAGCAGAAGTGGCCCCTGCCCTCCTGACACTTAAGACTAATGTTGATAACATCAAAAATTTTAAGAGACAGGCTCTGTGCTAAGTATTTTACTTATGTGAATTCATTAACGCTTCCCAGTCACCCTAGAAGGAAAATGCTGTTACCCCATGTTACATCACAGATAAGGAATCACAACTGTAAGGAGCTTGTTCAGGTTTACAGAGCTAGTCAGGGACTGAGCTGGGATTCAGTCTTGGCCAATCTGATGCCACAATCTGTGCTCTGAAACAGGGGTTGGCAAACTACAGCCCACTGGCCAAGTCCAGCCCAATGTCTGCTTTTGTAAATAAAGTTTTATTGAAACAGACAAGTCCCCATTCATTTACATGACGCCTTTGGCAACTTCCATGCAACAGTATTAGTCCAGTAGCTGCAGCAGAGACCACATGGCCCATAGAGCCTAAAATATTTACCTGTCCCTTTACAGGAATGGAGAAGGCAATGGCACCCCACTCCAGTACTCTTGCCTGGAAAATCCATGGAAGGAGGAGCGTGGTAGGCTGCAGTCCATGAGGTCGCTAAGAGTCAGACATGACTGGGCAACTTCACTTTACAGGAAAGAGACTGCTCTAAAACTCCCAACTGCCACTGCTTCCTCTCCCACAGAAATGACAGGAGGTAAGTAAAATAATTGAAAATAATTTTTTAACATACCATGATTCATGAAGTGGAACCCTGTGAAAGAGGATCACTGGAGTGGTAGGGCATGAGCTCTTTAAAATGTGAGTCCCCAGAGAGGGGACCTCCAAGCTGAGATCTGAGATCTGGGACAGAGCTTCTCGCTGAAGAACGTGTAGCTTATTTAGCTCCCCCTATATCCACTACAGCTGCAAAGGATGGCAAAGAAGCCAGTCTCCTTTCTGGAGTTAAAAGATTGCCTCCCCCTTTAAATGGGAGCCTGGGAGGATTCAGTGAGGGGAATGATGGATGAAAATGTTCAACATGGTACTTGACACCCAGCTGACACTTACCAAACAGCCCTCCTTCCTTCTGTCTCCCATCCTTGCCACCTGCTGAGCCAAAACTGGTCTGCTGCCTAAACTTGCAAAGGTTTATACATCATGAACACAGTGCTTTATGCTTTAAAATGGACATTGACATTTAATATAGTAAAGTGAGGGTTGGAAGTATGTGTCCTAACTCAGAATAAATTGTTTGGTCCAGTGGATGAGTCCCAAAGGGGAAAAATGTGCTAGCTAAGTCATTCCATTTGTGGTTGGGGCACAGATTCTCTTTCTTGATCCAAATGGCCAAGGCTGAGGGCAGAAGAGGGGTTGGGTGAGTGGGTGCAGGATGCTTGCCTTGGCAGTCTTCTGCATGAGTCCCTCCAAGACTGTCAGTCTCCATTTTATATGGTACCTTCATCCATCCATTACCAACATTAAAGGCCTCATCTTTAACCGGGCTCTGGGCCATTTGCTTGACAGTGAAAAACTGCTGAGTTTTCCTGCCAAGTATATATCCATATATTTTTTATAGATATAAATTGCCTTCAAAGCCACTTCTCCCCTTAACAGTTAAGGTTACTATGTCTGCCCACCCCTTTGGTTCTTTAGAAAAACACAGACTTTGTGGTTAGACCTGGCTCTATGTCCTGTTCTGCTCAACTAGCTATGTGACCTTGGGGAAAACTTTTAACTTCTCTGATCCTCAGTCTTGTCATTTGTAATAATAATATCTATTACTGTCATCCATTTATACAATATTTGAGCATTTCTATGTGCCAGGCACTGTGCTGGACTCTATGGATTTCACAGCAAACAAGACAGATGAGATCTCAATCGTTGTGGCTCTTACAGTCTAGTAGAGGGAGTTATTATAATCAAGTAAATAAATGCTTCAGATTGTTACAGATGTCATCAGTGATATGGAGGGGACAGGGTGATGTAATAGAGTGAGCTACTTAAGTGATACTGAGGCAAGACCTGCAGAATAAGAATGAGCAAACCATGGGAAGAGCTGTAAATGACATCAGGCAGAGGGATAAAGGTCTGGAGGTAGGCAAAATGTATTTTAGGAGACAGAGTAGTCAGTATCCAGGAGGGCAGTGGTACAAGACAAGGTCAGAGAGGTGGATAGAGACCAGCTCACACAGGCCTTATGGGTCATAACAAGGAGTTTTAGGTTTTATTCTAATCAGCCTGAGAAGCCAATGAAAGTGATTGAGACATGTATAGGATTCATGTGTCTAAAAGATCAGTCTGGTTAACTGCAGGGTGAAGAGATCATAGGGGAAAAGGGTAAAAACAGAGAGGCCAAGGTTGTAAGGATTACCTACAATTACAAAGGTAAAATAATGAACACATCTCCTGACACTTAGAATTTCTCTATGAATGTTAGTTAGCTGTTTTTCTGAAAAATCTAAGCCTGTCTTATCTAATACGGTAGACAGTGGCTTCGTGCGGCTGTTGAGCATTGGAAATGTGACTAGTGCAATCATGCAAATGTATTTTATTTCATATTAATTAAGTTTAAAAACTAGTATTTGACTCAGTCACTTGGGAAGTACTTTTGAAAAACTTGGATATATGAGTCTATTTTTTAGCTGTAAATTTTATGAAATCTGAGTACAGATTCAACTATTTTTGATGAAAATTTAATGTCCAAATTGAGATGTTCTATAACAGTAAAATGCACACATGATTTCAAAGATTTAGTATGAAAAACAAAATATAAAATTCAGTTAATAATTTTCATATTGATCACATGTTCAAATTTTGGACATACTAGATTAAATTAAATATTATTTAAATAATTTCACTTATCTTACTGTTTTAAAGCTTTAAAAAAAATTTAGATTAACATATGTTACCGAGTCCAAGATGACTACTACTTGCCATATAACAAGCTAATAAATCAAGAGGTGAGATGTTGGGACAGGGAATGGAGACTTTATTCAGCAATCCAGCAGACTGAGAAGATGGTGGACTAGTGTCCCAAAGAACTATCTTCCCTAAGTTAGAATTCAGGCTTCTTTTATGCTAAAAGAAAGAGGGTGTGGCTTGATGTTACAAACCTTGGTGCCAGAATCCTTTGTTCCTGCCCTCCCTGTAGGTCTGTTCGGTAACAATGTGCCTGTAAACCTCCAACAAAATAGATGTCATTCTCTGTTCTGTGGTCTTTAGAGGAAAAGTGTTATGTCTTTAAATGTCAGAGCCTTGAGAATGGGTTCTCCTGTATACTGCAGGCTATGGGCAACATTCTTTTACAAACTGCAAAGTCAGCATGACTAAGCATGGGCCACAGAGCACACATGGGTTAGAGCTAAAGAAATAGATCCAATGCGGAGCCAGGTTTGTTCTTGTCTGTTACACACAAGTGTCTCACGTCTATTACTGTTGGACCCTGCTGATCAAACAGAGACAGAAATCTAGAAATTTAAAAACACACAGGATGTTAACTCTTGATTATGTCTCCTATCTAGAAATCTCAATTTGAAGATTAGAACTGAGAAAAAATAAAAAGCAATAGCATCTTTTGGAAACACTAAGAATACAGGATCTGCATGTTGATTATATATTTGACGTGTATCTCATCCTCAGGGAATTCTTTTGGCATCCCTGACTATTCCTGGATATTGGACTTTACTTTAGCAAATGCAAGCACTCCAACTCTGGGAGAAGGAGCCCAGGACTTAGGGAACCTGCAGGTGTAAAGCTGAATCCCCAGAGCTGGGCTCAGTAACCTTGTGATATTAATGTGTCCACTTTGAGCAGGAAAAGGACCTGAAGCAGTCTAGCATAGATTGAAATCTCTAGCTCCAGGGAGCATAGATGCACAGAGCCTCCTAAAGGTTCAGGACAGTATGTTCATAGTAAGTCACTGGGAGAGGTAGGAGTGATTTCCATCACTTCCTGCAGATTCTCCACAGAGCAATTAAATAAATTGCTTTAACTTAAAGTATAGTTAGTTTGTACCAGGGTCTGTATGTAGTGCTTTAGGTTTGTTACCCCATTTAAACTTCATGAAACTTTCTGAGGTAGGTGTTAAGGTTTAGTGACTTGTCCAAGATCCTATCACACAGCTGCTAAGAGGCAGAGCAGGGATTCAAACCCAGGCAGCCTGACACCAGAACCTGCACTCTTAGTCACCACACAGGCAGCAATCCTATTGACATGCCAGTGACCCAAGGGACCACCCTTGAATATAAGACTTCTCTAGTTCCATCACTTGTAGCCATTGCTGAGACTTGCTTACCCCTTGCTAGTCCCTGCTCTGCTCCTTATGACTGAGAGATGGCTGTGTGCCACTAAGAAATCACCCAGTTGCTCCCTCCAGAAAGAAAAGCAGAGAGTAAATGGTTATTTTGCTATTCTCCAGATTTATCACTGTACCCATCACAGGGTCTAGTGTGCTGCCTAGCATCCATTCACTATTCATTCATTCATGTTCGGCTTTCATTCTTTCAACAAACTTAGGTGGTCAGTTCCCTGTCTTGTGGGATATGAATGAAAGCTTCACAAATACTATCACTATTAGTAATATTACTGGTCATCATTAGTAACACTACTAATCAAGTTATATTACTATTAGTAATTAGTCTTAATAGTGGTAATACTGTAACACCTTCATTAATAATAATATTTGTGGAGCATTTGCCATGCTAAGTACTATTAACATCACTTAATTAGCACTTAGTAATTTTTTTTCTATATTGAGCACTTAAATTTCTGTGTTTAATTCTCTCAACAATGGTATAAGGAAATTCCAGAAGCCTCAAAATACTACACAACCCATGAGAGCACTGGGTTATTCGGTGTTTTGGCCATAAATTCCTGAAATAGGGTCATTCACCCATGTGATAGCAGGATGTTCACTGACCCCTTACAACTGTAAACAAAACAGACATGGTCTCTGCACTGGGAAAATGACAACAGAACCACCCTCTGGATGGAAAACACTTATTTTCCTTTTACAGAGCAGGGTTGCTAGAATGAAGAGACAAAATCTCTACAGTTTCCGGAATTGATTGGTGGGCTTGCATCTCTAAAAATGTTTCTTGTCTCATGCTCTATACCTCTGCAACAGCCAACTCTTTCTCATTCCCCAAAATGCTCCGAAGGTTTTCATGATGTCCTCCAACCTCTTTTTGGTCCTTTTTATCCTCGTAATGAATTATTCCTCCTCCAACAGACTAACTCAGATATCTTCTTAGTGAAGATCTACCAAACAGGTCCAACTGCTTGCTTGTTCTTGGTATAAAAAGAAAAGAATGGAGTGCTCTGCCTTTAGGCTCAGTAGTGCCTTCCTTCATCCCCAGTCTCCCAGGCTTCGCCTCTAGCCTGTGAGCTCATGAGGATGGAGGAAGGCAGGGACTGTTTCTTATTAGGTGTCCTATACCCAGCTATTGTCACAAGGCCTGTCACATATTATCATTGTCTCTAATGTGCATTAAATATTATGTGCCAAGCCTGTGGGTCCTTGTCTTCTAGATTATATCATTTTCTGCCAAAAAACTGAAGAGGGAGTAACCACTGTTTTGTTGTTGTTCAGTTGCTAAGTTGTGTCTGACTCTTAGCGATCCTATGGACTACAACACGCCAGGTTTCTCTGTCCTTCACCATCTCCCGGAGCTTGCTCAAACTCATGTCCATTGAGTCAGTGATGCTATCTAACCATCTCATCCTCTGTCACCCCCTTCTCCTTTTGCTTCAGTCTTTACCAGCATGAGGCTCTTTTCCCATGAGTTCACTCTTGACATCAGGTGACCAAAGTATTGGAGCTTTAGTTTCAGCATCAGTCCTTCCAATGAATATTCAGGGTTGATTTCCTTTAGGACTGACTGGTTTGATCTCCTTGCAGTCCAAAGGACTCTCAAGTCTCTCTCTAACACCACAGTTCAAAAGCATCAATTCTTTGGTGCTCAACTTTCCTTATAGTCTAATTTTCACATCCATACATGACTACTGGAAAAACCATAGCTTGGACTAGACGGACCTTTGTCGCAAAGTGATGTCTCTGCTTTTTAATACACTATCTAGGTTTGTCATAGCTTTCCTTCCAAGGAGCAAGTGTCTTTTAAGTTTGTGGCTATAGTCACCAGCCGCAGTGATTTGGAAGCCCCCAAAAGTAAAATCTGCCATTGCTTCCACTTTTCCCCCATCTATTTGCCATGAAGTGATGAGACCAGATGCCATGATCTTAATTTTTTTGATGTTGAGTTTCAAGCCAGCTTTTTTCACTCTCCTCTTTCACCTTCATCAAGAGGCTCTTTAGTTCATATTCTGCTATTAGAGTGGTATCATCTGCATATCTGAGGTTGTTGATGTTTCTTCCAGCAGTCTTGATTCCACCTTGTGATTCATCAAGTTCAGTTCAGATTGCTCAGTCGTGTCTGACTCTTTGCGACCCCATGGACTGCAGCACGCCAGGCTTCCCTGTCCATCACCAACTCCCAGAGTTTACTCAAACTCATGTCCATTGAGTCAGTGATGCCATCCAACCATCTCATCCTCTGTCGTCCCCTTCTCCTCCCACCTTCAATCTTTCCCAGCATCAGGGTCTTTTCTAGTGAGTCAGTTCTTTGCATCAGGTGGCCAAAATACTGGAGTTTCAGCTTCAGCAGCAGTCTTTCCAATGAATATTCAGGACTGATTTCCTTTAGGATAGACCGCTTGAATCTCCTTGTAGTCCAAGGGAGTCTCAAGTCTTCTCCAACACCACAGTTCAGAAGCCTCAATTCCTCGATGCTCAGCTTTCTTTATAGTCCAACTCTCACATCCACACTGAAAAACCATGGCTTTGACTAGACAGACCTTTGCTGGCAAAGTAATGTCTCTGCTTTTAAATATGCTGTCTAGGTGAGTCATAGCTTTTCTTCCAAGGAGCAAGCATCTTTTAATTTCATGGCTGCAGTCACCATCTGCAGTGGTTTTGGAGCCCCAAAGATAAAGTCTCTCACTGTTTCCATTGTTTCCCCATCTATTTGCCATGAAGTGATGGGACTGGATGCTATGATCTTAGTTTTCTGAATGTTGAGTTTTAAGCCAACTTTTCACTCTCCTCTTTAACTGTCATCAAGAGGTTCTTTAGTTCTTCTTCGCTTTCTGCCATAAGGGTGGTGTCATGTGCATATCTGAGGTTATTGATATTTCTCCCAGTAGTCGTGATTCCAGCTTGTGCTTCATCCAGTCCAGCATTTCTCATGATGTACTCTGCATAGAAGTTAAATAAGCAGGGTGACAATATACAGCCTTGACATATTCCTTTCCCGATTTGGAACCAGTCTGTTGTTCCATGTCCAGTTCTAACTGTTGCTTCTTGACCTGCATACAGATTTCTCAGGAGGCAGGTGAGGTGGTCTGTTATTCCCACCTCTTTAAGAATTTTCCAGTTTGTTGTGATCCACACAGTCAGAGGCTTTGGTGTAGTCAATAAAGCATAAATAGAGGTTTTTCTGGAACTCTCTTGCTTTTTCTATGACCCAACGGATGTTGGCAATTTGATCTCTGGTTCCTCTGCCTTTTCTAAATCCAGCATGAACATCTGTAAGTTCATGGTTCACGTACTATTGAAGCCTGGCTTGTAGAATTTTGAGCATTACTTTGCTAGTGTGTGAGATGAATGCAATTGTGCAGTAGTCTGAACATTGTTTGGCATTACCTTTCTTTGGGATTGGAATGAAAACATACCTTTTCCAATCCTGTGGCCACTGCTGAGTTCTCCAAATTTGCTGGCATATTGAGTGCAGCACTTTCACAGCAGCATCTTTTAGGATTTGAAATAACTCAACTGGAATTCCATCACCTCCACTAGCTTTGTTCGTAGTGATGTTTTCCTAAGGCCCACTTGACTTTGCGCTCTAGGTGAGTGATCACACCATCATGGTTATCTGGGTCATGAAGATCTTTTTTGTACAGTTCTTCTGTGTATTCTTGTCACCTCTTCTTAATATCTTCTGCTTCTGTTAGGTCCATACCATTTCTTTCCTTTATTGTGTCCATCTTTGAATGAATGTTCCCTTGGCTCCATCCCAATTTTTACATATGAGGTACATTTATATATTATGCTTAGAAGCATTAAGTAGTTTGCCCCAGTGTCACACAGTTAGTGAAATGGCAGAGCTAGAATTAGGATTCAAATAATCAAATCATCCACCTAAAGCATTTTTCACAGCATATAGCACCTAATAAGCATGTAATCAATAAAGGCTAGCTACTAGAACTATCATCCAAATTGGACAGCTAGTAAAAAACGTGTAATGTTTCTGTTGAATTTATTTACATACTTAGTTTGCTCTGAAATTTACAGTCTATCACACCAGAATTTAACAGGACTTCTTAAAGATCATAAGACCTAACCACATAACATTTTTAAGGTCTTACTGTATTTAAAAATATATAAAAAGGTTTCTAAAATTCTGATATATTTTTAATATTTACTTTTGGCATATTAAAACTTTTTATTTACACAAAAACATAACTGTATGTATAACCTCATTCAGACATAAATTCAAAAAAAAGCAAATGTGATACCCTTCTTGAAAAGGTCACTTCCAGCTTACTCTGCAGTAGGTTCTGTGGATTATAGAAAACTAATATTCTGTTGTTATCGTTGGTTATGTATCTGGCTACCTTAAAGGAATATCTCAGTTCTGTATTCCTAGCAGGCAATGCTTGGGGTCTAATTAACATTCAGTAAACTTTGGTTATGGACAGGGAGGCCTGGTGTGCTGCGATTCATGTGGTCGCGAAGAGTCGGACACGACTGAGCGACTGAACTGAACTGAAACATTGGAAAAGACCCTGATGCTGGGAAGGATTGGGGGCAGGAGGAGAAGGGGACGACAGAGGATGAGATGGCTGGATGGCATCACCGACTCGATGGACATGAATTCGAGTAAACTCCGGGAGTTGGTGACGGACAGGGAGGCCCGGCGTCACAGAGTCGGACACGACTGAGCGACTGAACTGAAATATTTCTTTAATGAATGTATAAGCCAACAGTTCACTTTTTGTTCCAGGACTGCTTAACACACTCGAATATTACTGAGGACCACAGAAAGCTTTTGTTTATGTGGGTTCTACGTATAAGTGAAAATATTGTAATATTAGTTTATTAATTAACTTAAAATAACAATATACCCATTATATGCTAACATAAATAATCTTTCTATAGATAACTAAGTTTTCCACAACAAAAAATGTATATACAGTGTAGAGTGGCATTGTCCTACATTTTTGCAAATCTCTGGCTTAATAAAAGACATTGGATTCTCGTCGCTCCTGCGTTCAATCCATTGCGCTATCACAGGACACATATCCTCTGGAAAAATTCATTGTACATTCATGAGAGGAGAGGGGAGAGAGCATTAACAACTTATCAACACTGTTTTGATATAGCTGTAGACCCCTTTCGACAAAAATACACTTTGAGAAACATAAGGAAAACTATTTTTAAACAAGGATGATGCTTCAGGACTCTTCTGTACACAGCACAGCTGGCATGAGAGAGGTCAGAGCAGAGGAGTAAAAGGAACACCATAGAAACAGCCTTTCTCTTTTCCTTTTTTCCTCCAGAGCCCAGAATCGCGGAGTCTTGCCGTAACCCAAAATGGCAACCATCTCTCATTTTCAGTCCGTACAATGACGTCATAGAGCGACAATGCCGCACCCTCTCACTGAGGTTTTACAACATTTCCCAGGATGCTTTGCCAACGGCGACGCTATTCAGCGGCGCCGACGGAAGAGCACCTGACTGAGCGGAAGTAGAGATCTCAGAGGCGAGGAAGGTGAGGACGAGAGGAACTGTGAAGCTGTGAGTAGCCACATGGGTCTGTAGTCTTGGCGGTGAGGGACACAGCCAGGGGAGGAACGTTTGGAAAGTGTGGGGGTGGCCCTCCTTAACCCAGGAGCCTCAGACCCTTGCGTTCTTATACTAGTCCTGGGAGCGGGGAAAAACAAAACGTTGCTGTGGAGGCACAGTCTCCGTATTAAAATCGTACTGTTTTAAGTTTTCTTGGGACGAGATAGGGTGGAATTCGGGTTCTGCCGCAACCCAAGGGTCTTTGGCGTGATTTTACTGCGACCGGAGGAGTGGCGCTGCTGACGGTCTGACTCAGCTTCTACAGCACTAGTTCTCAATTGGCTGCACCTGAAAGTCACCTGGGATGCCGTTTTAAAACTACAGATGCCCTGGCTGCACGCCAGACCAGTAAATCAGAATCTGTGAAGTATACAATCTGGTCAACAATACTTACTAAAGCGTTTCGAGTGTTACCGTTGTGCATACAGGGTTAAGGACCACGCTTTTCATGGTTAATTCTGACTCCTTCGGGAATCCTGATTGGGGCTACCTGAGCCAAGGCCTCTCTCCCACTGTAACCTGCGTGGGCTTTATCACATGCAAGTGGGTGAAGTTGATGATTGCTCTGTTGGCACGGATTATATTTTGAGCTCTACCAAAACCTTATTTTTGAGCTTCGTGCGGTGATGCTGGAAAGACAGGTCACAGTTTCTTAAATACGATCTGGTTATTCATTCTGAATAAAAATTAGAAACGTGTTGTTTTTCTTGCCATTGTTTTCGATTCTGCCATTTTTTTGCAACCCTGAAAAACTGGGAGCAGTAGAAGATGGAGGAATCACATTAAAGTCGGTGTCTCTTATTGGCTTGTAAGAGGTTCTGAAAAGGGTAGCAGTTAGAATTACATTTGGCTTTATTTATGGGCTTATGAAAGCCTTTATATATATATGACTATATAATTGAATCAATGAAAAGTTAGGATCTGATTTGAATTTTGATGCAGAAGTTTGTTTAAATGTGATAATTAGGATTGGATAGGCAGGTAGATAGCATTACCTGACCTATTTTCTCTTTTGCAGTTTCAGCTTCACCTCCCTCACTGATTCAGCATGGGGGATAAGTCGGAGAACTGTAGGGTTCCAGAGGATCTGTTCACTGGTTTGAAAGTTACAGATCCCCAGGAAGCAGAGTGTGTTAACCCTCCAGTATCCAGTGCCAAAGAACATCATTCCCGGAGCGAGCTGCTCAAGGATGTCGAGGCCCAGCCCCAGGAGGACCAGGGAGAGGAGGAGTGCTTTCATGATGCCAGTACCTCATTTGAGACGGAGGAGCCAGGAGTGGACAAGATTGAGAACAAACCTGAGGATGATATGAATTCCTCTGAACTAGATGAAGAATATCTAATGGAACTGGAAAAGAACATGCCAGATGAAGAGAAAAAGGTAAATATTATGTATTGTGCATGATTTGCCATGTAAATGTTTTTAAAGGGCTAAATTTGCTTGATACTATATCATAGATTGCATCAATTGTGGTAAAAAGTGACTTGCCCATCTGTTTCCTTACTCCTTTAGTAATGATGAATCTGAGATAAATCAGTGACATGGTGGGGCTGCATTGAGTGTGTCTGCTTAGCAAAGACACTTCTTAGCAAAGTTCACTTCTGTGAACTTTGAGTTCTTACGTTCATCTTGTGTGATTATTATATATATATACCTTTTAACTTTTTTTAGTGACCTTATCGATGGGTGGCTGCTGAAATTCCTGTCATAGATATTTTTTGGTCAGACTTTAGAATTTGGCATGCTGCCTGTTTGTTAATCCTTCGTTAGCAAAAAAAAATAACTGCCTGAATATCCTGGTGTTGATTTACTTACAGAGGGCAGTGACTGGGACCTGTGTCATTTACATTTTGTTCTTGAGGAACAGAATTGTGTATGATAGTAGCTCATTTGTTAAGCACCAATAATATGCCAACCACTAAGCTTAAAATGTTGCTTGTGTTTTCATTTAATCTTTACTACATGCCTATGAAACGTATACTGTTAACATCTCTATAAGACAGCAGCTTAGGGTAGTACAGTAACTTGCCTGAAATCACATATCTATTAAGTAGCAGAACTGTTTCTCAAACCTAGATCTCTTTGATTCCAAAGGTAAAATATAATGCAGAATTGAATAACAAAAACAACTATCTTCCTACAAAGCAGATGCACTAATAAAATGTATACTGTCCTGCTACTTTACCCTTGGGCTAGTGACTGAGCAAGCATTTATTTTGGGAGACAGAGGCTTGGTGTCTTACATATATTCTTCCTTCTGATCTCATAAGCAAGATGGCTTAAAGAGGTACTGTAACATCTGAGTTTGTCTGCAGAGAAAATGAGTGAGATTTGTAGCTTATGCCTCTGAAGCACTCACTTGCTGAACAGGTTATGATGCATTGGTGATGGGCTGAGATGGTAAACATGCAGTGTAATAATTTGAGGGGGGACGTGGCAGGAAGTGAGGAGAAGCACCTTAGGCACTTTTCCTGATCAAATCTTTTGGTTTTGACATGCATGCGTTAGCTTTTGTGCTAGTGTGTGCCACTAGAGAAGAACGATAAAGGGCAAAAATCAGCCAAGTTCATAAACTACCTCCAGCAGAAACAGCTCAGAAAATTAAATCAAGTACTATTCAGTAACATTAGAGAAATGATTTTCCAGAAAGTGTTTGGCTCAATTATCATAACACTGGTGTAGATATGAAATGATCATGTTAAAATATTAGCAATGCTTTTCTGATACCTTAATGTAGTTTGCCCTGCTATCGTGAATTTTCTCCAATGCCATTGGTTTGATTTGTTACATACTATGCTTCCCATTCTCATTAATGGAAAACATTTTTTGTCTCCTGGCCAGAAAATTTTAAGTTCTATAAATATTAGAAATAATTCTTTTTATTACTTATAAATCAAATATTCTAAATAGCAGAATACTTTTAAACTTTTTTCCTTTTAAAAATTAAGATATAATTTACATGTTGTATAACTGTTTAAGTTCTAATGTGTACTGCTCACTGAGTTTTGACAACTGTGTATTCCCATGTAACTCACACCAGTTGTAGTATTCGCTTTCTTTTATGATACTTTGATAAATATCTTTGTGAAATTAGTATTAGGAAATCAGCTAAACAGATGAAGAAATGTCTCTTTGTTGCACATAAGGTTTAGTTTTATAAGTCATTGGGAAAAGGATATATTTAAGCTTGATTCTTTTAAAGTAGATGCAGTTCAGTTGATTCAACAACAAAAATGAACACAAAGGGCCACATGGGAAGACTTTCAGCCTCAGTAATAATTTTTAAATGCAAATTAAAACATATCTTATTTCTCAGATCAGAGCATTGTTCGGATGTTGACAAGAAAAGGAAGTAGGAACTAATGTACTAACAGTGAGAGTTTGAATTGCTACATCATTTCTATGGTCTACAGATAGCAAATTTTTATATGAGCATTTCTTTAGATCAGGGCTACCATGGAACCTTCTGCAGTGATGGGAATGTTCTATATCTCCACTGTCCAATATGGTAGCCACTGGCTACCACATTTTAACAGTAATCTGGCCATTAAGCAGTTAAAATGTGGCTAGTGCAGCTGACAAAATGAATTTAAAAATTATTTTTTAAATTTTAGTTAATTTAAATAGTCTCACATGGCTGGTGAGTACTATAAACTACCACGTTGCAGGATCATGCATAATTTCAGAAAACTAGAACTAATGTTGAACAGAGGGTATTACTTTAAACTAGTTTTGGCATATTTATGTGGTGTACAACGTAGTCATTAAAAAGAGGTAAATCTTCATATTGACATGGACTAATGCCTGAATGTTAAATGAGTTAAGCAGGTGTTATAATATGATTTATAATAAATATGTATTTGGTGTTTGTCCGGTTCCTGACGCAGAGTTCCTAAGACCTTTGAAATTTCCTAAGTGAAAAGAGATGAAAGTTTATTTTGTTATTCATAGCAAGGCTCTTTCAACCACATGTGACTTAATGTTAATGAGATGACTTTGGGAAAACCCCTGAGGATGAGGTCTGGCTGTCACTTTGGAGCTCTCAGCCCCACTCCCACTTCACCCCACCTCTGAGGAGGGAAGAGATGCTGAAGGTTGGATTAATCACTAATGATCAGTGATTAATCATTCATGCTTACTTAATGAAAGCTCCATAAAACCCCTACAGGATGGAGTTCAGAGAGCTTCAGAGTTGGTGAACACGCATAGATGCTGAGAGGGTGCACGTCTATAGAGCCTGGAAGCTCAGCGCGAAGGGTTGCACAAACCATGCCTTATGCATCTCTTCCATCTGACTGTTCCTGAGTTATATCCTGTATAATAAAGTGATAATCTAATAAATGAACTCTTTTTCTGAGTTCTCTGAGCCCCTCTAGCAAATTTGTTGAACCTGAGGAGGTGGTCATGGAAGCTGTCCATTTATAGCCCATGGACCAAAAGTAGAGGTGACAGCAGCATCATGGATGGGCTTAGAGGGCGTTATGCTAAGTGAGAGAAGTCAGAGAAAGACAGATACTGTATGATACCACTTATGGGGAATCTTAAAAAAACAAACTGGGGAATATAGCAAAAAAGAAACAGACTTGCAGATACGGGAAACAGACCAGTGGTTACCAGTAGGGAGAGGGAAGGAAGGAGGGGCAGTATAGGGTAGAGGAGTAAGAGGTGCAAACTGCTGTGTGTAAAAGAAGCTGTGGGGTGCACTGTACAACACAGGGAATATAGCTGATACTTTATAATAGTTACAAGTGGAGTGTAACCTTTACAGTCATGGATCATTGTGCTGTACATCTTTATGTATAACTTATATAATATTGTGCATCAGTTATACTTTAGTTTAAATATATATATATATACACACACACACACCAAAAAAAAAAAAAACCAGCAGTGACAGCCTGGACTTGCAGTTGGCATCTGAAGTGGGGATGGAGCCAGTCTGTGGGTCTCAGCCCATAACCTGTGGGATCTGGCACTGTCTCCAGTAGATAGTGACATAATTGAGTTAAAGTGTAGGACACCGGCTTGTCCTCTGTAGAGTCAGAGTTGCTCGGTGTGGGAGAAACTTCCGCACATGTTCTAAGTGAGCGTTGAGAGTAGAAGACGCACGCAGGTGTTTTCTTTATCAGAGGTTATAGAACAGTCATTGATTCCTTTTAAGTTAAAGAGCGTTGAGAGTAGAAGACACACGCAGGTGTTTTCTTTATCAGAGGTTATAGAACAGTCAGTGATTCCTTTTAAGTTAAAACCCTGTGTGAAAATAGTTTATATATGAAAATATGCTTATACAGGAGTGCTTGAAAGCATATACACCAAATTATAAAAAGTGAGTAGCTATGAAGGATGTGGTTATTGGAGAATTTTCTTTTATATTTAGTACAATTTTATAATGTTTGCAGGATTTTTTTTTATGGTAAGCATATGTTACACTTATGACCAACATCAGAAAAAGTAACTCCAGTTTGAGTATACAAATAAAATTTTGATTCTTTATAACCAGGGCAGACTTTTTACTAAAATAAGCACATAAAGCTGACCTTTGGGGATTTGGGAAAGATTTGCTATCATAGGATCTGTGTATTGCCAAATGTATCAAGTATCAGTACCTGAAGTCTGTTATTCAAGCTGACTTGACTTACCCTGTGGCTGAGAAGAAGATCCAGGCTCAAGTGGGTGCCAATTCTCAGCAGAACTCATAGATCAGGAGTAATAGAGGAGGGAGAGGCAGTTAAGGTTTGTTTAAAACCAGCAAAATCTCTTCAAGAAAGCACTGTGTGTGTGTGTTTCAGAAGCAGTCTTGACTATTTGTGAAAACCTAAATGTAGACATGACTACCCAGAGGGATGGGATCTTAGCTCACATTTGAGATGTACTAGATCTGCAAAGCAAATAAATGATTTTTAAAGGCTTGACTGAGGTGGACTTACCTGGTAGCAGATGAGAATTATTACTATAATAATATTGTGATACAAAGATGCTTATAGTTTGGGAAACTACAGAATATATTTCTTTGTGGTGGTATTGATGTAAGAGAATCATTTTTTGTGGGCTGCTTATCAAAATGGAGTTCTCTAGGTGTTCTCATGCACACGCTAAAAGACCACTATCATGGAACGTTGCACACTGTCTTCCTTTATTAAATAGCTGAGTAAATAAGATTTTCTCTCTCCCATGAGGGCCAGTAATTGGTCTTACAGATTTCGGAGATTTTATCATTCATTTATTCAAGAAATATTTTGCATTTCTTCCATATGCCACGCATTATTTGAGGCATTTAGGAATACAGCAGTGAATAAAACACTCATCTCTCATATTCTAGTTGGGCGGTATGGGTGGAGGTGGGGGGAGTGATAAGATGAAAAAGGCAGGGGGCCTGGAAG